CGCTCCTGCTTGACTTTGACCACGTTGCTCTATCGCAACCAAGGACCCGGTACATTGGATCGTTGGTCAGCTGAGCAAAAGGTCAAATTTTTTCAGCGCTGTGCAGCCTGTCAGGATGAGCGTGTGTCCTGGGATACCGTTCGCTCGGTGGTGATCGAGACAGAGACTCATTCGCGGGCGCAGCAGAAAGTTACCCAAGTGACACAGGAATCCTTGCCTCTTGGCGTCTGGCTTCAGAGGGGCTATACTGAGCAGGCAGTTCTGCAATTTGCGACCGAAGAGGACCCAAAGCTGGGGCAACTGTACGCCGTGCCAGTCCAGGCGGACATATGGCGCGAGGTGCAGGAGACGGTCGAGAAGGAAGTCCTGGAGCGCGAAAAGGCCATATCACAGAAATCTTGTGGCAAACGCAAGAAGGGCGACGCAGAGGCAGAGGCCTTGGATTTGGATGTGGCCGCCGCGCCGAAGGCGTTCGCAGCCCCGAAGAAAGCACCAAAAGGTGCCCCGGCAGCTGCTCTCACGGGTCAGACACCGCGCCAGATGGAAGCCGCTCGTCGCAAGCAAGAGACAAACAACCAGAAGTGCGCTTAGTTTGCTGCGCAACATGTGGGAACCCTAAGCACTTGCGTGGCTGCGCTCGAGAAAGCTCACACCCAAGGGGAGAAGGCAAAGCTTGAGCCAGATCTTTTGCGGCAGGCTGTTGATGCATTGGGGAAGCTCCAGCCTTGGAAAAAGGCCTGTCAGGACATCGTCCATTTGGCGGAGGCCACCAAGGGCTTAGCCACGCCGCTGGGTCCCCTGGACTTCACCAAAGTAGATGTCAAGGACACTGTCAAAGCTGCCAACCGCGTGGTCAGCGACATTCGCTCGACTATGCGAGCTCTAAAACCTGAGAAACCTGAGAAGGGAGAGCGTAGCAAGAAGTCCAAGAAGGACAACTGAGGGGGTTTTGCAGCAATATGCAATGTATTGCGAAGAACTATATACACTTGCTGTGGAGTGAAAAACTTTAACGTCTGCTTAGCAACTTTCTTTTCTATCCTCTCTGTAGCAATCTTTCGGCTCTTTAGTTTTTTGGCATCGGGTTCTGGGCTATATATATATGATGTCGCGTCTCCCCCATGCGCCCCTATCCGAAAAGAAACGCAAGGCGCCAGGAATGGCTCCGGGAGTCCACGGTGTGCTTGTTTCGAACAAGCGAGTGCACTTGTGGGGTCCGCGCTTTGTGGATATCGGCGCCCACCACAACCTGAAAACCATGTTTGCCGACATGGCTCCGATTCAGGTGGACGATTCGGACGACGACTGCGTTGCACCGCCACAGGCCACCTGTCACACAACTATATGTGTGGAAGCTGCGCTGGCGCAGGAGACCGTGGACATCTTAGAGCCGTTGGAACAGGAGTTGCAGAGCCGCATGCGCCAGGATGGCCAACTGGCTTCGAGCATCATCCACATGTCAAAGGCTCTCGATGTCGTCCGTGGGATGCTAGACCCTGCTAAGGAATGTCTTTCTCAGACGGACCCGACAGACGCGCTGAGATTTGACTCCAGCGATGTAGCCCGTGTACACGACATGGTAATTAACTTGTTTTGCAATCTTCGACGCTTGTGATCAGCAGCCAAAAAAAGCGACTCCCAAAAGGTTCTGATCTATATATATCTATATGCAGAGTGCACTCATGTCACACATATATATGTTTTGGCTCAAGGTTGTTTCAGACACATGCCGAAACGAAAACGGTGCGATGACACTCGGGCAGCTATCCAAGCTTGCTTGGAAAATACACTTGCGAGCCAAAGAGACGCTGTGTACATTTGGAACGCGGCTGTGAGGTCAACAGCTAGGGAATGCATAAGCCGCCGAACCACTGCTGACGTAGAAGCATCTCGGCTAAGTCCAGCAGCGGACTGCTATATGCGTGTGCCTATGCGATCCAGCGATGCATCTTCAGACAAAACGCAAAAAGTCTGGATCGGCGATCTTCCCAAGCTGCTACAGTGGCTCGCGTCCAATAGTCGGGCGTGGCGCCAACACTTGATAGCGATGTTGCGGGAGAAGCCGGAAATCAGATTAGTGTTCTACTCCGACGAAGTGACCGGCGGGAACATCTTAGCTCCCGAGAAAAAGAAAAAGGCAGTTTTGGTGTATATCTGCCTGCGGGGCAGCCTCTACCACAGAGAGGCATGCTGGATCACCGCTGCATGTGTCCAACATCTGATGTTGGACAAAATCAGAGGTGGATTCACGGCCGTTATGCGCGAAATTGTTAGTCGCATACATCGCGACGATCTGCTGACAGAGGGCTTTGAGTTGGAACTCGCTGGCGAACGCTTCAGAGTGAGGCTGTTGTCTCCAAGCCTGATGATTTCGGACCACGAGGCACAGCGGGCAACCTTTGGCATCAAGGGATCAGCAGGCCTGCTTCCGTGCATCAACTGTTGCAATGTTGTGAGTAAGCACGCTACTTCGATCCCCCCTGGTTTTGTCACCATCGCTGAATCTGATTTCCGGCGATTCGTGTGTCGAACAAACGAAGCGTACTATGAGGCGGCCGCTGCCATTCAGGCCGAACGCACGACATCCAGAAGATCTGTGCTGGAGAAGGCTTACGGTCTGAGATGGGCTCAGGATGGCCTTATGTTTTGCGAAGAGACTCGAAAGCATCTTCCCCCACAAGGGAGTTGCACGGACACTCTTCATGATTATTTCTGCAACGGGGTGGCTAGCTGGGAATGCGGCGCTATCTTGGAGCGCCTCCAAGAACGCGGACTCTCAGTGGCCGCCCTCCTTGACACCGCGGTTGCCAGTCAGTGGCGTCGGGAGGGAGAAGGACGAAGCTTCAGATCCAACACTTTGGGTAGAATGCTTGGAGAGAAGTATTTCGACAAGGGGGGCTTCCGCGGCTCCGGCAGCGACTGTTGTTTCTTAGTTCCCCTTCTGAATTACTATATGTGTTTGGTGGCATCCAGAACACATTCCCCGGACCCAAAGTTCCAATGCTTTGATGCGCTGGTTCGCGTCTGCAGAGAGTTGTGGAGACTGCAGTATAATCACCTCACACCTTTCAGTGACCACTCTGAAGTCCTTCCTTTAGCCTTACTGCAGCAAGAGCACCAGGAACAAGTGCTCCGCGCCTATGATTTGGACTTTGTGAAGCCAAAGCATCACCACCGTCTTCATATACCGAAGGCGTGCGTGCTTTTGGGCCGCTTGCCCAATTGTTGCGCGCGAGAAAAAAAGCACAGACACCTGAAGACGGGTGGCCTGCTTGACCGGACACACATGCAGGTCAACCGCTTCGATGCATGGCAACAAGCATTGCTTCCCCGCTTGCTGCAATTGTCTGCTGTACCAACGCATTGCTTCGAGCCGTGTGAACTGCGTGAGCCTGCGCGGCCCACCGATTACAAAACCAAGAGGGACCTGGGGGACGACTCTCTGCGAGAGAGTCTCATTGCCGATATAGGGCGAAGAAAGGTTGAAGTGGGCGATGTTCTGGTGTGGTCGGAGGAAGCTGGGCATGTAAAGCGTATCGTACAAGGCGATACGGCGAGGCTGCGGTTCCAGCTGATGCGCCTCCGGCATTTGTCACATGAGCCCTGGGGTAGCCGTTGGGAACTTTCGGACGAACTCCGTTGGTACGCACCACAGCCACGAAGTAGCTATAAAATAGCCATGTGGTGGCGCGTCGATGAAGACACTCGACAGATGTGGTGTTTGCTGTAGAAAAAGACACCGCGCGCAGGCATTTTTGGATCGTCTCAAAACCTAGATTTCCAAAAGCGGTCGGCTACTTAATTCCTACTTAGGTTCTACTTATAAGTTAGAGGTAAGTAGAAAATAAGTTTACGGGCTATGTTACATATATGTTACCCTAAGTTACTTACAAGTTCCGACAAGTACAGGCGTGACATTCAGTAGTAAGGCACTTGTTACTAGAAGCGATGCACTTGTTCCTGGTAGCTTATTGTTTCTACTAGCGAACATTGCTACTACTAGTAAGGCACTTGTTCCTAGTAGCGTGGCACTTGTTCCTAATAGCTTCTTTGTTACTACTAGTAAGGCACCTGTTACTACTAGCGTGGCACTTGTTACTAGTAGTAACAAGGTTTGCTACTCCTGTTTTTTCCTGAACAGCTGGAATTTTCCTGATTTCCACTCATGGAATCCGTCAAAGTTCCGCAGTTCAGGCTTGGCATGTCTAGCCTTAGCCCACGAGACTCGTGTAGTACATAGTGCAGGTGATTCCAAGAAGTCTTTGGTTGAACTGTTAAACACTAGCAGTTGAAAGGTTGCTTCATCATTCCGCAGTGACGAAGACAATGTCGCTATGATTGGATGCGCGTTCTTGGTGTCCAAAATGCCTCTAAGAGCCAATGGATGCAGATTCCATTGGGGATGTCCATTTGATCCTTGGTGTTTTTGTTTGTTTCGATGAGTCGTTCCTGTTCCTTCAGAAGAGTTGAAAACAACTCTGAAACAAGACTTGGATTGAAGCAAGCAGTCATGAACACCCCATTCGAGGTCTTCTCTCTTTAAGTTGAAAACTATTACCAGTGGCAGTTCATCCCCTGGTGATTCCTGGTGCTGTAGAGTCCTTTTTTTCTGGTGAACAAAAGTAGCAATAAAAGGCCAGGGAGACTCGAGAGCCTGATTTCACCAGCTCCCACTCATGTTCGTACTGATCTGCAAGACTGGCGACGACAGTCGACTCATGTCATTGCCTTGCCCCACCTGCCACCTTAGTACTGCTACAAGGTTGGAGGCCATCGCTATTGGGTTGGAGGTTGTGTGTCATCCCGGCTGTGCCACCCGCTTTTGGTCACCACGTGTGAGTCCCGACCTGGCAGATGACTTGATTCACGATGGAGGGTTTCATGAGATGCTGTTCGACATGCACAACCGAGAGGCAAAGACAAAACCGTAGTCCATCACCCCATCAAACTACCTTGACAAGAGACTCTTGCTTTTAGATACTATTGTTTCCCTGATGAAGGACATGAGCGATTTGATACTGACTCTTCCACCGGAAGACTCTTGGCAACTGCCGGATTTTTGTGGTTTGAGGAGGTGATGGGATGAAGATGGATGAAGAGTGAGAAAATTGCTAATTTTTGGAGATTGGGTCGGTGGGGTGATGACAATACTTTTTACATTTGTTTACCGGGCATAAGTTATATTCAGAATCTAGTAGTAACAAGTGCCACGCTAGTAGTAACAGGTGCCTTACTAGTAGTAACAAGGTTCGCTAGTAGTAACAAGTGCCGTACTGTACGGTTTTTCCCGACTTTCGGGCAGACTAAGAATCGACCACTGTACATGAACATAGTTGAACGCAAGGACTGTCCGTGTGTTAGCAAGGTTGAGTGTAGTGCATCGACATTTGCAGCCTCCTTTCCTACACAAGCCCAGGGCGAAAGAGCGTGGGCTTCCTAAAAGATGAGGGTAAGACAATATTTTTTTCATTTATACGAGGAACCCCACATGAAGGAGGCTTTGTAGTATAGGTCATTATACGTCGAACACCTAGCAAGAAGAATCAAACTTACGGTCTACATTTGTCTACGTTATTACACAGTTTAGCAAAGGGAGGAGGGACACGGGACAACCAGAAGCTGCATGGAACCTGCAAAACCAAAACGGAACCACCAAGAAACCGATACCTTTCTGATGAACATGCTGCGAGTCCAAAGCACTCTAAACTGACCGGTGACCACAAAGATTGAGGACGTCCCGTGACGTCCCTATCAAATTCTGTCCTACGCTCGGTAGTTTGTTTGACTTGTTCATGTGAAATCCACAAGTCTGGGAAGCCACCGTGGGATAAGGGAGCCACTTGGTTTGTCGTCCGGTGGGAGTATGAATCTTTACATTGAAACAACGTGTTCATGTCGGGAGGGCGCGGAATCTCGGCTTGAGCATGGAGCGGGCTCTTGACATGGAGGCCACAGATTCCTGACAGCCTTATGGCCTTATGTAAAGCACCCAGTCTAGCCATCCAAAAAGCTATCAAACTGGTCCCGGTATACAAAGCAGCTGGTCACTGTGATAAGCTGGTCAATGTGTTCTACACATACTCATTGCTGTCCGTCAGACACGACGGAGCCGACTAAGTCGGTGCCTGTCCGACACCTGGCCGTGGCACGTCACCGAAGTCGACTGAGCGAGGCCATCATTTAGGGACTTTGTCACAGCGCTCTTCCTCTGGCTGCTTGGCATGGGAGTTACAGTCTGTTAGCCGAGTTTTGTAGCAGCGAGCCAAGATCTCTGAAATGGACGCTTTTCGGTTTCTGTTGTTGGCATCACAATCACAATCATATCGCACCTACCAGAGGTTTGTGGGGGTCCCATATGTGTGCTGATACATATACATAAGATTACACAAGACACTTCCCTGGTGCACTGCTGCCAAGACAGCTTCTGTAAGATGCCAAGATGGTGGTCGTTCACAACAGTCAGAGTAGAGAGCAAGGAGCTTTTCTCAGCAACGAGGTTCTCTCAAATTGCTCCTTCCGAGCATGTGTTGGCGAAGTCCTTGAAATGATCCAACGCATGGGACTTCAACATAAACAGTTGCTGCACCTGGGCAATCTAAGCATATCAAGGCCAAGTACGGTATATGGTTTGCATGTAGCAGGGATACTGCGGATGGCCATATCAAACCACCGTGTTTTTATCCAAACCTGCACTTGGCATTATTCACGAAAGCTGGTGGTTATGGGGGAGAATCAACATGACCGCGCGGAATCAATGTGTGAAAGATGTCATTGTCAGGGGTCGCGGTGTGGGTTATGTGACCTCGAGATTGATGTGTTGTTGGTAAAGGCTTGACCAAACACCATATCCCTCCTACATATGCATCATTGATTTTGCTTTTGTCTGAAGCCTGAAGCCCAAGTTGCCAAACAAGAACAAAAGGCTGGCAGAACAAAGAAGAAGAAACACTTTCAGCACACCAAGCTGCTACGTTTGAAGACACCTTCTAGACTGTGAATTGTGAATATATAGACCGTTTCACAAACAACCACTAGATAGCTGGTTCAGCTCTCCAAATTGCACCTGTTGGAGCACCGGTCGCCGAGTCCGGTGTGCGCGTGGCAAAACACGGTTAGACCATTGATCCTTTAGAACTATACAGACCAGAACCACTGGTGTTCTTCAGATCATATCAACCACCCCACTGAGTTCAAAAAGTGTCAGTTTAGGCCTGGAGACCAAAATCGTGTTTTTTTGTTTAAAATGTTGTTTCCCTGCCAACCAGCTGTACTTCTCCACATAACAAAATAATTTGCATAGTGGTGGTCATTCAGTTGACACGTTACAGTGAAATCGTTCTGTGCCATGTGTTGGCTTCCGTGGGTGTGACAGTTCCATGAGTGTGACACTCAATGTCATTGGCCCAACATCCGCTCGCTGCGGGATGTATATAGATGTGTGTTGGATTTGTTGGGGTTGAACATTGAACTAGGAGCAAGGACGCTGCTAGGGGCTACTAGGAGCAAGAACGCTACTAGGGGCTCCTGGCCTTACTACTAGGAGCAAGAAGCTATAGGGGCTACATGGGCTGGACATCTCTTGACGAAACCCGCCTGGTGGGTGTGGAGAGTGGACCATCTTTGCCGCACAGTCCCAGGGAACTGAGCCCTTCTTGTCCTCGTTGTTTTTTTCCCCATGTCTGTGCTGAGAGTGTTTCTTTTGGTCCCATGCCAAGGCTATGCATCCAAGTGGAACACACAGGAGATGAAATCGTCAAAGCTTGCTCAGACTCAGGTGTCACTGGACTCGAGCAAGGCTGAAACATGTTGGAACTACGCACAGCTCTTTTTCTCATGTCAAGGCGGTGAAGTTATTTTTCTTTTGGGGTGAGCGTTCTTCCTGCCAGTGCATGATGGCAAAGTTATGTTTGTTGTTGAAAGTCGCTGTATTAAGTTACTTCCGAAAGTCGCTGGCGACCTGCTTTCGATCCTACTCATTATATACTTGTTTTCCATCCTGGCTGAGAGAGCAGTGGCATTGAGAGAAATGGTTGACATATGTTGACATAGTGTCTTTCTTTTTAATCGTGTACCTCCTGTGAAAGGAATATTTCGGTCAGTGATTGTACAAACATATTTTTGTGGTGGTGCCAGAATCTCTTCTGTCAACACTAGGGCTATTCACCTAAATCCGCGGAATCTCAACAGCACCCTACAGCTCGTTGTTCGTTCATGCAAACAGCGTGGCCGCAGGACATCACCAGTTCCAAGGCGTGTGGAATTTCTGCTGCTAGGTGGTTGGGGAAAGGGCCAGGAAGAAACTTGGAATCCAATCAAAAGGGTAGACATAAATAGACACCATAGCCCACGGTAGATGAACATGCCAGAATAGACAATTGTGTACATTTCTGCATGTTCATGTAGACAGGCAAGCTTGCCTATATCAAGCGCCTTGAAAGGGAAAAGGTATTGCAGTAATGGTGTATATAGGGTACTGGCCTTGACCAAGACCCATCAATTTGTAGACAGGTGTTCAATCAAAGCCTACTTTGCACATTGGCACATTCCTTTCTTTACTTGGGGATTCACAAGGGAACAGGACGTACCTGGCCCCAAGCAGACAAATATGTTTTTCTCCAATGCATTCCAACATGCACATGTGCTTGAGGCTTTGTATAGGCACCAATATACAGCAGACGGCTGCTGTAAGTATGTGTTGCAGCCTAAGGCAACAACCCATGTGGTAAGATGATGCTGTACCTGAGCAGGTGTTGATCTACCCGCTGAGTGGTTCACTGGTTCACTTTGACATGTGTTGGGGGTTGGATTTGCACACTAGATGTGAACAGGTCTATGGAGTCTATGGTTCGAGGCACAACAAAGCTAAGGCTGAGGGTGGAAGGACCCGCTGGAACGTCCAAGGGAGAATGGTCGCAAAGTTGGGGGCCACCTGATTCAAGACCTTCATCTTGGATGTGCCCCCAGATTTGATACGTTTCTCTAGTGGCTTGCAGGAGTTCATTATAATCATCGTCCAGACGTGGGTGGGGCGATATGTGACTGTGATACCTTGGAATGTGGATGCCTCCCTCAATGCGGCCCTGTGGCCTGCAAGCCGCTCCAGGAACTTGCGTCCTTGCGGCGAGCGAGGATGCCCCACCTGGAGCGGGCAAACATGCGAACATGGGTCAGCAGATCTGCTTGGTTGCTTGCGTTGGGTGGCTGATTGGTTGGCCTGGGTCGTGCGTGAAAAAATGACATGTATATCAAGAGACAACCATTGTGCATCATTGTGCACGTCATGAGCGTACCGAAGTCTTTTTGTGCAAGACAAAAAATGCCGAGTCTCTTTTGAAACGTCCATGGGCCTTGTGAGTACACAGTAAACAGTCCAGCACGGACAAGTCTGCGCAATTTGCTGCATTGTAGGTCTTCAAATGCCTGCCTCTCCAAGAGTATTTATTGTAGTTCTAAGCGGCAGGCACACACATTCAGATATAAGTTGGTTTGCTTTCACCTGTCACTCACCCTATCTTTAGAAAGCAACCAACCCTTCCCTGCAATGTCCATTTGTTGAGATCCCCAAAAGCCATTCTCAAAGTAGGATCCCCAAAAACATCCAAAAACCATTTGTTGTTCAGCATTTTTCAGTCTAACGAGCCTTTGTTTCTTCCAAGCTTGGCTCTGCTTTTTCCTAAGCTTGGCTCAAAAGGCTTCTCCAATGCAAAAGCCCGACTCAAAATCGAAGTCGCTTCGCGACGGCACGGTGGTCGCTTCGTTTGGGAGGAGCCACCAGCTGAGAGGAACCATTCTGGAGCCTTGTAGCGCCACCAGGCCACTTCTTCGGCGCTGGAAGATGTGGAAGATGCCCAACGGAGGGTGCTGACAAAAAGAAGTGTGATCCAGAGGCATCCCCAAGGTCCACCAGGTTATAAATAGAAGGATTGTGGGCGACCCACTTTGGGAGAGTGAACAGTAATTTATTGGGCATTGTTGGGTAGGGTTAGGGTTTGATCAGCATTATATATAATATACTGTATATATACAAGTTTTAAGGAAATAGAATACTGTAAATGAGATGGGTCCAGGAAGCATTGATATGCATTAGAGGCGGTGGAGAAGGATAATTGGGTGATGAGGAGACTGAAGATATGGAAGAACATCAATTGGTTGAGATGCAGGATGCCAGAATGGATGGTCAGTATCAGAGTACACCTGGGAAGTGTGAAGTGATGGGAAATTGAATTGTGCATAACAGGGCATAGCTAAGTGCAGTAAGAACCAATCATCATCCAAGAGAATCAGATGGAGTTTAAAGAAAGGCGGTATACGGGGTTCAAGACAGTCATTAAATCGCAAGAAAGGGGTCACTCAAAAGAAAAGGGGTCAACGAACGTAAATAAATTGGATGAACTTGCTTAGCATTGCAAAAAGAGTGGCACCAAGAAAGGTGGACCAACTCAATTGTGGGGGTTGTCCCATAATATTGAAAAATAATGGACGGCGAGTGTTGCAGGAACAAGGCGGACCAAACAAACAGGGGGGTCCTCAATCATGGCTTTACGTGTTTGTTTGCTTCATCCAGTTGATTTTATTACCAGAACCTCCACGACAGTGTCACTCCTTTTTAACAGAAAGGAATGATGCAGAGATGGGACACCGCTATCTATCAGGTCCACTGGTTTCTCAAGAAACCAGTAACTATAGCCAGATAGGCTTTGCCAGCAAGGATGCTACTAGGGGCTCCTGGCATCGCTACTAGGAGAACTGAGAGATGCCCGATGCCCTTATTCGCCGACCTAACTTACTCGGTCGTCCCGACGTCACTATGATGATGCGGCTCGCAGTGACTCTCTCGGCACAGAATAGGCAAACCTGACCAAAGCTGGATTGATTTGGTCTTTTGTGAAGTATAATGGCCTTGTAGCAGAAGGACTTTTGAAGCTAGCCCACCTTGCAACGAACTGGGCCTGGTGCTTCTTCAGGGCATGGCGCCATGTGTTTTCGGGTGTTTTTGAGTTCCGTCCAGTTCGCGAACCAGTTCCTTTTTGCTCCCCAGCCACTCACCAGGCCTGCCACCAGGGTGACCGAAGTGCGTGAGAAATTCAAGAAGATCAGCCCGGGAGAGATCCCGAGATCATGCCAGTATATCCGAGCAGTGAGAGACATTGGACCACTGATGGGTGGCTGGCACCTGAGACCGGGTGCGCGGCATGTTCCAAGTGTTGGTGTGAGACCGAACCCTGAAAAACACCTCAAGGGTGTCAGGAGCCAAGACATTATGCAAGGAGGGCAAGTTCTTCCTGCGTTCACTTCATTCAGTGCCTGCTATAGGCATGGAATGGTGTACCAAGTTCTGCAATTGATGCACTGTTGGATGCATCCAATAGGGGATTGGATGGTGAGTCGCACGTGGTTTGTTTAGCCCCTCCCCACGACAGTCAACGACTACACTGGCAAACTGGCAATTCGTATCTCTATGATTCTCTATGTATATGTACATGTATGTACATATATAAATAATATGTATATATATATATATATTATGGAGATATGCTTTACCCTTCAGACTGGTCGCCTTCCCATGGGGTATTCAAGTGAAATTTTTGAGGCAAGAGATCTTCACCAACCTGCCTGGATACCTGAAATATTCCTGAAATACCGTCAGAGTCACTGTTTTCCCCCGGCTGACATGGATTTCTTCTGGACAACAGCTGAGCTGCCAGGCTCGTCACACAGTCTTCACGGAAACATCGGCCTCGCCACATGCCTCTTCGTCCATCCCCCTCCAGCCTCCAGCTTAACTGTGTGGATCGCATACGGTATAATTACATATCACATATATATATATATATTGATAGCATAATTACACCGTCTAACAGCAGATGTCCACTGGACGTAGGGCCAAACTACTTTACTCCTGGCACTCACCAAGCTAGCATTGCAACCCAGAAGTGGGTTGGGCAGAGGATGTTCTTTGTTTGGAGCAAGGTTGTATAATCTACAATTTCATGAGTTATACTGTGTTTGTTACCTATCTTTGTGTCACGGTTCTTCCTGGGCGAAACTACTAGGAACACGTTGACAACAGGGGACCCTTTCAAGGGTAGTTCGGATGAAGTGCTCCGACACAAAGTTTGTACTCCTCCTTTGTAGGTTGCTAGTCACACTTCGTCACTCCGTTGAAATAGCAGTTCACAGGGATTGGTAAATCAAAGGACTCCAAAGGGTGTAGCATGTTGTAGCATCCTATTTTTGACACTCTAAAACAATGCCAATGGAGGCCTTCCAAGTGCTAACAGCGCATCATCATGGGCGCTATAATGGTGTGAAATTCTCACTGACTCACTGATCCAGCCTCAATCCATCGCAGAAGAGAACTCATGAAAGTCAGACAGCGACAAAGTCGTGTTTGGCTTGCGTGCTTTGTTGGATGGTGGATTAAAAAAAGAAGGTTATATAATAAGTTAGCACCTGAGTCCACAGGTCTTGCTTTGAGTATGTTTGAGCAGGGCGTTTGATTTGCCCTCAGCCGGGCATATTTTCGGCCCCATCAGCCCGGTCATTGATTTAACATGTTGGATTGCCGGTGTTCCTGAATCTTGATCCACCCAACAGCTGGCCTTTTAAACATATGCGGCAAATCGGTTGGATTTGCTTTTTCCCACAGCGCAGAATGGAGGCGTGACGAGCAAGTGCCAGAAGAGAGGAAGGAAAAAACCTTTGCTTTTGTGGGCTGGTTGGAACACCAACCTTTCACCTCTTCGCTGAGCACATCCTCAACTCCAATCCCAGCCCAGGAACAGTTGATCACCTGCCCAACCCTTTTGGGGGATTGGGATTGGTGTCCTTATGAAAAACGGACAGGTGGAGTTGACCTGTATTTCTACGGAAACCTAAGGGGTACCTGAACTCTCAGTTTTGTATAGTTTTGTGATATGCTGTACGGTTGCAATGTTGACTACAAAGTTTTTTTGCATTGACAACAAAGTAAGTTTCCGCGGATTGTCAGGTAATCGGTGCTGTTGTACAATGTTGAAGCCTCTTTGGGAAGATGTCTTGGAAGATTTGTGTTCAAAGATGACTTGTGGGAATGCCACGTGCAAAACGACCCAACTGCCTTACCTGTCGTTCAAGAACCATGTGGTGGCTAAACCTATACAGACCTGTTCTTCTGAGGCTCGTGCTTGTTTACTTGCATTCCTTTCTTGCTTGGTCAAGTTGTGGAGTTTGCTCTTCCAGATGTCCCAGAAATGTTTACAACACTGAAATACACTGAACATGACCTTGTAAAATAATCGTGCCGCAGAGGTTTCAAGAACAAAGCTCTTTGAAAGCATCATTTTAGGATGCTCCCCTGGATGCTCCAGGTGCGACTTCTGTGCCGAGGACTTATTCTTGGAAGAAAGGCAATTGCCCCTTGACACATGCCAGTTCTTCATCAAAGTTTGCACGGCCTTGCTATTTGTTGATCAACGGTCAAAGTTTGGAAGGAACCTCGCTTGGGAGGGTCAGACCAGGATTAAAACTAATCACTAATCGCTTACCCTGGATCTAACAACCCGTGAGGGCCCATGTTTTTCACTTGTTGGGGACAGGAGGTTTCTGAATACATACCACAGTTCTAAGTTCTATGTAGCCTTTGGGACGTGTGTATATATACATACAGTATATATTGAGGACCATGGTGGGAAATTTGGGAAAGTTGTGGAACATGCTTGCAGCATATAGCTCAAATGCACAAAGGGACATGTCATTTGCATTGGAGGCATGCTCAATCATGTCAGTGCCGACGACCCTCAACCACCAAGTCGATTTGGAAGGTGGCGTTCCGGACCAAACAGAGGAAGCTGCCTTGGATCAAATATGTATATCGTGCATACATGACATCATGGAGACCCACCAACATGATGTTGGAGAGAGGATGTTCCTTGCTGACATGGAGTCTTGTAATTATGCATTGCTGACTGGAAACATATCAACAGGACAACCAAACATTTGGGGAAACATACGGTCTCAACGAGACTTGCACAGTGCGGATGGCGATGACAGGAAGGCACTCTCGTGCGGGTGTGGGTTGCACTCAGAGTAAATTGAGAATTTGTGCCCTGTGGGCCACTGTGGGCCATTGAACATCTATCACTTTATTGATCGAGCTTGTGTTTTTGGAACCTGTTCTCGCATATTGACCACATGATTGGAAGACACAAGAGGGTCTTCAGGAATTTGCTTTAGTATTCTGAAACTATATTAAATATTTCGATCAAGATGAACATGCATGAGCAAGCCCACAACAGAACACACATGGCCGCAGTTCACCACACAATGCACAAGGTTGCAGCCTCCGTTTTCACGGTACCAACGACACAATGTAAAAGGCTAAAGAAGCGCAAAAGAAGTGAGAAACCTGGCCAAAGTATATCCGTTAAAGCTGACGTCCGTTAAGCTGACATCCGTCCCTCAATCCAGATTTCAGGATCCTCAGTTCGAAAAGCACATCTGAACGAGGCCCGCCTAAGTGGTATCCATTGAGCCTAAACACCGCTGGTGGATCACAGTGGATCCTGCTTTCTAGCCTTGTTAATGGATCGTATGTTGCTTGACTGTGTGTTTTTCTTTCCAGGAATCATCGGAAGAGTATGGCTAATATCGCCCAAACTTTTGAGGCAAGACCTTGAGATTGAGTCGCTGGAGAACCAGCTTCATCTCTTGAAGAGCAGACGAAGCTGTTGAATGATCCGATTGTTTGATCCGTATTCTGCTTCAGAATTTGATTGCCCAGTCGCCTAATCCGCCTTTTGCTCTAGCAGATCCGACTTGGCCAGCTGGAGCAGTCTTTCGCTCCAAGTCGACCTGACTGCCCAGATGGCTGATCTGTTGCTTCTGTGATTGCTACGGGATGGCGTTCTCCTCGTTTGAGTCGTTTGACTAAGAGAGCAGTGGAAGAGATTCTGCTTTGGCAAGTAGAAGGCCTTCTTCAAGGGATCGCAACCCACACAAGGACTAATTCCACGTGAACTGCTTGAAGGCAGTGACTCCAGCCGCAGCCTGACAGAATATTCTGCCCAGCCAGAAAGCAAGAAAACAAGATCTTACCAGCCAGACACACCCAGCCAAAGCCTGCTGGGCCAAGTGGAGGCAGCCAGGCTTTGGCTTAGCCAGGAAGGTGGAATAGGTGATTGGGTAAGCACTGCACCCAATGAAAGCACTCGAGATTATCCCATCTCAAATCAATGTGTGGCTGGTGTGATCCGGTGCAACTCGACAATCCTTTTTAGGTTGAAATAAAGGGCAATGGGCCCATAACTGGGTGTACCGGTGGAGTTGCCCTTCAAGAGTCACCGGTCAGAACTAGCTCGCAGGCGGTTTGAGCTCGTTGGGTGAGAAATCCAAACTGGTTGAAGATGGATCAGAGTAACAGGCCATAACAGGCCTATATTTATGCTTCTGTGGAATTTCAGTCTCAGCCCAAAGTGCACTAAGTGCACTATCATCTCACAAGCCCAGGTCAACAAGAGGACTCATTGATCGGTATAATACTGGGCTGGGCTAATTATATAGACATGTTTTTGTGGAGGCTCAGTTTACAGATGTTTGCAGGAAACCACGCAACCATAGGTTCCAGGACACAATGCTGTTTTCAAGGGATGTGGCTATTTGAGTTTCATGTTGCAGAATAAGGGGACCACGAGCGCCATCATCCAATCTTCCTTGGACCAACTGTAAATGAAATGGGTGTCTCACACTGAGACCTCGCAGGGCGCCACTCCTTTGCAGATCTACGTTTGCTCCGAAGGAAGAGGTTCACCAAGGTCTAGGCTACGAAGAAAGGGGGTCCAAGCCCATGAGACCACTCTCGGAGCTCGGCAGGGGTGAGATGGCCAGATTCTGAGAGTATCGATGGAGGCAGAAGAGTCCCAAGCCAACCAGAAGAAGTTCATAGCTTCGTAGATTTTACCATGTGTTTGACTTGTGCATACTTGTGCTTAGTAGGAATGAGGGAATGGATCCAGTGGAATCTCTATTGGGGGCTCATTCCCTTATATATTCCCTACGAGTCGCACCAGTCAGTTGAATGAGCCCAACCTTCTTTCGACCTCATGTCCATTGGACATGCACAATTTTTACATGTCCCTCGTTCTTCGTCCATCATCAAAAGTACTTGAGGTCAAAGGGTCAAAAGTGCTGTGTGACAATGTGCTGGGTCGGAGCCCGACACGAACGTGCCGATGCTTTGCATTCATGCAGGGTCCAGGGTCTTAGTATTTGTTTGCAGTTAACACCGGACCACAGCAATTTGAGCAATATGACCCACCAGCCCAAATTGGACACCGCCTTTGTTTTCTTGCTTTTTGAAATCTTTAGAACCAGCAACAACGGTGATTGCTCCTTGAAGGCTGATCGGTTCCACGGGATAAGTTGGCATTCTACCA